AATATTCACAGCAGCATTTTTCATAATGGCCAAAAGGTTAAAACAATCCGAATGTCTATCAACTGATGAGTTATTTTACTAAGTATAATACCCTCTAGATCCATCCATGTTATTACAAATGACAAGATTTCTTTTCTTTTCATGGATGAATAATATTCCATCACAAAATGTGGCATGACCATCCAATGAAATATCACTGAGCAATAAAAAGGAGGGAAATACTGAGATGTGCTGTAACATGGATGAACTTTAAAAGCATGCTAAGTGAAGAAAGCCAGTCACAAAGGCCACACATTGTAACATTCCACTCCTATGAAGTGTCCAGAATAGGCAAATCCATAGAGACCAAGTAGGTAAGTCGTTTCTAGATGCAGAGGAGAGGGGAAAAGGAATATTGACTGTTAACCAGTAGTGTTTCTTTTTGGGGTGATGAAAATATTCTGGAATTAGGTAGTGGTGAGTGTTGGACAACCTGTGTTTGTGCTAAAAACTAATGAATTGTGAACTCTAAAAGGGTGAGTTGTATGGTGTGAAACATGGCTTTACGTGAAGACTCATATTGTCAGGATAATTTTAAGTGAATGCAGTATATAAACCACATTCTGTCAGGAGAACATAAGTCACACGGCTACTTCTCGTTCCAAGGCAGGGGGTGTGATTCTGGAGCACGTAGCCCAGCCACGCCTCTGTCTCTCTGGAGGACAGGGATAATAGGTGTTTGCAGACAGCTAGCAACCTCCTTCACAGTGGCAGAGCTGGAATTGGAACCTGGGTCTTGGTGTCCTGCTCCAAGATCTTCTTACCATACCATCTGTTTCTCTAAGGGGACTGATTTCATGAGTGTAATCAAGCAAGCTGCTGAAAATAGGCATGTTTTTGAAACTAAAATAAGATTTGTCTGCTAACAGTGGGACTGAGTAACCTAGGAAATGACTAACCATTTATGCTTCTTACATGTAAAGATTGCCCTCTTTCAGAAAAGGTGCATGGGTAGAAATAAAGGTACAATTTTTAAAGGGAAAGGGACAGTTCAGGAGATTTTCCAGGGAACTAGAATTGCACAATATCCTGTTAAGAAGGACAGAGGGCAGTGGTTGCCTGCGTTTTCATGAACAATGGTGTCATTCATTAGCTTTGATTGGCTCCCCCTGGTTTGGGTAAACCCATATCTGTGTTACTGGCATGGCTCCATCTGTCTGTGGTGTGTACTGCACAGTGCTAGAGCCCCAAGCACTCAAGAGTCTTGGTTATTTGCCTTCATACCAAGTTCAGGTATGATAGGCTACTAGTTGGAGCTTACCTAGTGCTTTTCTCCTTCCCAGCAAGAGGTAGGAGCCCTGCTTGCATTAAAAAAATTTTTAAGTTTAAAAATTGTAGAGGATTATTAATATTTACCTATTAAGCTAGAAAAGATAAATTACAGTGAGGAGATTGTTAGAATAGATACACAGAAATAAATATATCTTGCAGGTAGTTCTGAAAATTGGAATAGTTTTGGAGCTGAAAATTCAAATGTTTGTAGGGGCCAGGAAGATAATTTAAATGGGAGAGAGGATGATTATTGGAAATTGTGGCAAATTAGAGTGTACAGGTCCTGACTTAAGGCATTAAACAACAATATCACATCAAGAAGCAAAAAACACCTGCTATGTAGGCCAATTAAAACCTGTGTGGGGCTGAGTTGAGCTTGGAGGCTATCAGTTTATGGCAGCTTCTTGACTGGCATATAATACAGCAATGTGCAACAGGGACTTTAGAATTTGTCATATATTACTATCAAAAGAGACAACACAAGAAGTGAAGAAATTAATTTGAACATAAAATGTTCTTACCTCTTGTTATTTAAAGAAAAAAACTGGAAAACCTTCAGATGCCTAGTAATTGGAAAATAATCAAACTGTGATAGAATTATGTAGCCATTTGAAGCACAGAGGTGTGCAGAAAGTGCCAGCACATGGAAATGTACGTATGTGAAAAGGAGAGTAGAATACAAAGGTAAATGGGTATGTCAAATGTTACAACGTATATGTCCCTACAACCAAGCTAACATTGGAACAGGTTTAACAAAGATGGGAAAAGAATTTGGAGCAATAAAATTTGACGCATCAGACTTTTTTTCCCCTGAAAAGAAGTTTAAATTCACTGGGAAAAAAAAAGAAAATGCAGTCACCTCTACCAAGGCCATCAGTAAAATACTTAGTTGTCCTTTGGATTAGATCTAACTATGCACAAGCCTGACTGTTTTACTGGGCTAGGGCTTGGTCCTAGAAGGCTTCTTTTTTGCCTAAAGAGATGACTTAAGTTCCCGTGCTGGTAGGCACTGACATTTCATTCCCACCTCAGAATTCTAGGTTTTACTGTTTTCCAATCCACCCTACTTTGCACATCTGATCAAGGGAAGTGATTCCAGTGCACACTTCTTGAGTGATGCCCCTCCTTCCATACCGCTCCTGAGTCTGTGCAGAGCCAGGTTCCTGGGGGTAAAGCGGGGTGTCGTAGGGCTCTCCCCCTTTTCAGTATATCCGGAGTGGCCCCTGCTTTGGGGATGCATCAGGGCCTGGCAGTCCCAGAACTGTGGGCCGGCACTGAAAGTGGAGTCCGCAGTGGCTGCTCTTTCGTGCCTATGCCTGGCCTGTGCGGGCTGGGCCGGCAGCTTCTGGGAGGTCTGCTGGCCAGAATCCCGCTCCTCTGAGCGTTACTCGTCGCTGTGGTGACAACTTCCTCAATTTCTCCTCTAGTGATTGTCTCATACCCAGTCCATCAGGCAGTAGCTGCTTTCCCAGGAATCTCAGAAGGCGAAGGGAGGCTTCTTGGCACTGGGCCTCGGGTTTGTGCTTCAGGGGTGGGGACTGTGGCTGGCTTGATTTTGTACCCATAGACCAGTTTTAGCTTGGTTGGTGGGGGCGTTGTTTGGAGGCTCAGGGTCATTTAAATGAGTTCAGATATTATCAGATCTTTTAAACAAATGTAACGGTTACTTTCCATACTGACATGAGGTAAAAACCTCTATTGCTTTCAAGTGGGCATGGATTGATACTTGGTGCTGTCACTGCATCAGTTTCTCCTGAAACAGATTTCAGTATTTCTTGGATGCCTCATCTTCACTGAACTTTCTGGAAATTGCTCCACAACATTGATTTTGTAGAATAACTCAACAAATACATGAACACTTATTCCAGGGATTAATTTCTCTGTGCTAGTTATCCATGCCTAGAAGTAGAAAAATCTCTGTTCTTTAGTTTGTACAGACTGGTATATTTACAAAAGAACTTGGCTAAAGATCCAGAGTCTAATTGCAGATTAGCTTGACTGGCATAGATGAGAACTCTTAGGTCTGTTTCTCTGTCGTTCCCCTGACTTAGGGTCAGACTAACATACTCAGATTGTGTCCTGTGGTCCTGTTAAGTTGGCACCATTGCCATTCTGTTTGTGAGATTCTTCCTTTCTTCAGAGAGCATTGACCTGCTGTCATGGCTGTGGTGCCAGTGGTCTGGTTCCTGAATCAGAAGGGCATTTCCTTATCTGTTCACAGCTGGTTTATCTCTTGCCTGGAAGATTTTCATAGCTTTCTAAAGGGTTTCCTTAAGTCCCCTCTGACGCCCTGCAATCCATTCTCTTTCCAGTAGTCAGTCTTTTACACTTCCCCCTTTAGCTTCCAGGCTTTCTGTGACTTCCAGTTGCCTTTAGGATGCACCCCAAAACCTGTCCAGGCCTTGCCCCTGCATCTCACCAGCCTCCTGTCCGTTGCTTCCAGCTTTCTGTGCTCAGGCTGCCTTGGCCCTTTCGGCGCTGCACGTGTGCATCCTCTTCTCCCCACACGTGTCCTCTTTGGCTGCAGGGTTCTGCCCTCTCTTTCTCTTTCCTCTTCCTTGAGACGATCTCACCCCTTGGCTGGGTCCATGTCCCCTGCCTCTGATTAAGGCCTCTTTCCTGTGCGAGGTGATAAACTCCAGGGGTGTGTGTCGGATCTTCTTTGCTGAGAGAATTACTAGCATGTAACACATACTGTAGGTACTTTATTGAATGGCCATTTCTTCTTGCTTTACCCCTCTGGAATTTTATGGCTCTGCCTCATGTAAGTTGTAACTCTACCTGTGATTTCCTCACTAGCCAGCCTACCTCTATCTAAGCTTTTCCAGCTTCATAGGAAGGCATCTGGCTTTAGTCTTCTAGTGGCCACATATGCATCCTCCTTTGTCTTCCTCTGAAAATCCAGGCTGTCCTCCAAGGCCAACCTTTTTCTCTGAGCAATCATTGCAGCCTGACCATCTCTCCAGGTTCTCCATGGTGAACTCTCCTAATGAGCCTGATGACTTCTCACTCACGGACTTCTTCTACCACTCCAAGCCCAGTGTCAGAAGCAGCAGCAGTAAGAGACTGATTTTTCAGGAATGATGACAGTAATTAAGGGTCCTGCATGAAGTGCTTTAGCGTCTCTTAAAAAGAACTGAATTTGCTTGTCTCATTGTTGCAATTTGCCATCTGTTCTGCTATAATGAAGGAATTGCATTCATAAGAAATTTTACTTTATCAACAGTCATGATGTAAAAACAATGCATGGTTAGAAAGAAGGTTTAGGAATTGGACAGTATCAGATTCAAAGTAATTTTTCCTATAGAATTTTTTTCTAATAAAAATTTAAAAAAAAAGCTGAAAATGTGTTAGTAAAATGCATCACTGCAAAAAACTTAGTGTTTGACTAGTGGAATTTGCTCTGGGATTGTCTTGGTTTTCTGTCAGTGCCTGCACTGTCATTAGCAAAGAACCTTTTCCAGCACCCTTATTTTCTCTATCACCTATTGCTATAGTAAATCAAGCACCAAGACTGCCAGACAAACCAGCTGTTATAGACAGGCAGCTTAATGGTATATGTAATACTGGCCAACTTCCCTAATATATCCAATTTGCTTTTAAAAAACCTGAAGCCTGTGATTTTCTCGGATCTCAATTGCCTTCATCAAACAATAATACCTGTGTCTTAATGTTTTTCCCTGAATCAGGTGATGCAGGCCCAGTGTGTCAAAACAGAAACTGAATTTTACCGCCGCAGTCGCAGTGAGGTTGTGGAGGGAGAGGGGCACACCATGGGGGCACTTTATTGGCAGCTGAATGACATCTGGCAGGCTCCCTCCTGGGCTTCTCTAGGTAAGTGCTGCCGCATTCTTCACGTGAGTGAGCAGAGGCAGTGGGGTGGGGCGAGGTGCTGGGAGAGTGCAGAGCCCAGGGCTCAGGCTGACCCGGCAGAGAGCTCCCACGGAGGTAGGTAGCCGGTGTGTGACCTGTGGCCACACCACCCACCTTCACAGTCCTTCCAGGCCCTTAGTGGTGGCCTTGCTGTGAGTTCTGTGTAGAGTCACTGTAACTACAGGGAGAGGAAATCCCAGGGCAAAATACCTCCAGAACCAAAAGCAGTCAAAGGGAGAAATAAAGTTTAAAACCCGTTTATTGCCTGAAAACTGCAGTCTGGGCCATCTCCCTTTCTTGCTCAGGCAGAAGCAAAACCAGCCCTCCCCCTCACCTCTCAGGTTCAGATAAGCCCTCTGTTGCCCAGGTAATTACCCATTGATATGGAGATGGACAACTTCTGGCTCTCCACCCCTGAGAATGCCTTTTGATATGCATATGCACCAAAGCCAGGCAAGATATTCTGGAAATATTACAATTTTACCCACAGACACCAAAGCGGGAATGAAGGGGATAGATTCATGCGTGACAGCCACATGTCTCATAATTATTGCTAGAATTTTGGATTTACTGAAGAAGACTTTCTGGGGCAAAAGGAGCATTTCTTAAGCATCCCTTCTTCTATTTAGTGGAATTCAACCAAGTGGAAGGTTGGCCCAGCTGAGTGTTAAAATGTCTCTTTCCCTGACTCCCCTTCAAGTCGAAGTCACCTTTATTTTACCCTACTTATGTGTTGGGGGAAAGGTGGGAGAGTCAGAAATCCAAGGAGGAAGGGTTATCAGTTGAACCAGCTCAAGTAGCCACAGGTCAGATGACTGGCATGGTTCCTGTACTTTGCATTAGTCTGTGTATTTTGGTACATTTAAAAAAATTAAGGGGTAATAATGAATCTTTGGCCTTCACTCAAGGTGGTTTGAAGCAAAGCTCAGTTAATAATATAAATGAAAGTTTTGGGTCCAAAATGAGGAAAGCCCATAAAGGAAAAAGGCTGTTTTGCTGGGTGAGGTGCTTGACCTCACAGAGAGTGCAAATCCAGATCCCCACCTGCTTTGAATAGTGGCAGTCACCTCCTGCAGGGAACTGGAGCTTCATCAACACCAACCAGATAAAAGGGTATTGAATGGGAATCAGGGCTAGACTGTGGGGGAGTCGCCTTTCTGGGATGCTTACAAGTGAACAAAGAGATATTGTTCAGGGACACTTGGCCCCTGACCCGGCTCTCTGTTTGTGGATGAGGTTGTGGGCTTCTGAGGCTGAGCTTGGTACAAGATCTGGGAGAACCAAGGGTGGGTAAATCTGAGTACAAGGGTGGGATGGCACAGCAAGAATTTGAGTTGTAGCGGGACAATGCCTCCATGGAGGGGTCACTGTTCCTACCTGTGAGAGAAAACAGGTGCCAGGGAGACACTGTGACAACTTAGGCTGTATCTGCTCCTGCTCTGGTCAGCCTCTTAGCTGCTGTTTAATTCTGCTTAATTAGCTCAATAAATCTGATGTTTACAGTGTATGCAGGTCATGGTAGGAGGAGATCTGTAGCACCTTTTATCAGCTCAATAGTGCTATGCTAAAAGAGATCTATAGCTATGTGGCATGTATAGATTCTTATATTTCTTTTTTAAAAATTAGTGTCAGTATATATCATTTTACAAATACAGATGTCCACATGGGCGTTTTGCTTGGCTTATAAACTTGGAGAGTTACAGAGTGGATGGTCGAGCCAGAAGTCACAGCATTCTGAGATGGTTATACAGAGGGAGAGTGTTATGTTGCTCTCTAAACTTTGTCACTGATCAGGGACTAGGGTGTGTGTCAGCGAGACCTCTGCTTCGATTGCCATTCTCTTGAATGTATTCTGTTTGTGGCCTTGATCGCTGGAACCATGCATTTAAGTCTATACCACACGTGAGTGTTTAAGTCAACTTAGGCCTGAGCCTTCTTCCATATACAAGAAGACTTACCAAATGTAAGTTCTAGTTCATTTTAGAGATGTAATAGGAAAGGCCTCTCCTCTCCTCCCCACTCATTGTAGTTTTTAAGGGGAAGATACTAAGAGTTGGGATTGAAGTGCTGAGAGTTGATATTTTGCAAAATCTAAACAAATGAGTTCTATCTGAACCTCATAAGTCCATTCCTCTGTCTCCACAGCTTGCACTGTAAGTTCTGGAAGCACCTTCTCCTTCCCTTCCCTCCCCCCACCCCTGGAAGTTGTTCAGTGATGCAGTGCTTTGTGGGGAAGGGTCTTTCTGGAATAGAGACATGTTTAAATAGTTATTAGTTTGTGGGTTTAGCAATCTACACATGCCAACAGGGCAGAGAATGCTACAGGTTGACAGCTCCTAATTTTCTGTGAGGAACTGTCAGTAACTGCCATGGGTTTGCATACGGCTGACTTGCCAGCCATATTTGTGATAGTGTCTCTCTGTCTTGCTCAGAGGATTTTGTGCTATGGCAAAAGGAGACTTTGAGTTCCAAGTAGCTCTTCTAAGTATTTGTGAGAGGTGTTCCCTGACGTGCCACTGGTCTCCTTCATGAGTACATAGTGGGAAAAGGAACATTGGTGCATTGAGCTCCTGGAAGCAGAACTGTGTTTGAGAAAGGGCTAGCTGGGAGTCCAGCCTGGGCTCAGTGTGCTGCTGGTGGTGTGTTTGACTTAACAGTGTAAGCCAACATTTCCTTATGTGCACGGTGTGAAGTCAGTGCTGCCCCACCTGGATGTGAGGCTGCACGAGGTCCCGTCGGACAGGCTCCTCGCGCTCAGCAGACGTGGCCCCTGCGCTGTGGCAGATCCTCACAGATGGGCCGCGTGCACATGATTCTGACTGCTCAGCTCTGACCAGCTCCTAACTTCCCTGACTGTTTTTAGAGTATGGAGGAAAGTGGAAAATGCTTCATTACTTTGCTCGGCATTTCTTCACACCTCTTTTGCCAGTGGGCTTTGAGAACAAAGATGTGTTCTTCATTTACGGTGTGTCAGACCTTCGCCAGGACTGTAAGGTGATGCTCACAGTAAGTTGCTTAGATTTTTTCCTAAGATGGAAAATTTTAGATGATTTCTTTAGTTACTTCATTATATTTCTTTTGGGGAAAATATTTGTATCAATGTTTCTAGTGCTTGTAGCAGAAAATGGGCTGTCCTTTGAGTCAGAATACTTGTATGTATTTAGGGTAAAACTCTGCCGTTTATTCTATGACCTTAAGCCTTAATGTCTTGGTGATTCAGTTTCCCCATCTGTAAAATGATCTATCAACCTAATCTTCTTAAAGGATTCAGTAGGTAGTGAATAAAATAATCAGGTGAAAGTGAATTATAAACTGTAAAAGGTCACAAATGTAAGGTTATACAATCATGGGAAGCTGGAAATAGCCTAAACATTATGAAAAGAAATCCTTAAAAATGGTGTGTTGAAGTGGAAATCAGTAAAATTATTGGGAATATATGTGGGAAAATAATCTTGTAATTAAAATAGTGCTAGGAGAGGGTAAAAACTCAAAGAAGTTTGGATGGCTACTGTTTGGAGGACACTGAAAATAAATCATGCTCATGGCACAATTACAGTGCCCAGGTACTGTGTCTTCCAGGGATCACTGTATTCAGTCCTTCCAACAGCCTGAAAAGTTAGTGTTGTCCTCACTATATATGAAGAAACGGAGACATTGAGAAGTTGAGAAACTTGCTCAGTTACAAAGCTAGTACTTAGTGGGGCTGGCTTTAAACCCTGGTTTCATTGTCTCTTGATCAGTTATGCTGTTCAGACTTTCATCTGTTACTACTACTGTTCTTCTGTAAAGAGGCCAGTCACCCAGAACGTTTGTTTTTGCTCTGTCTGTCTTCCCAGGTGAGAGTCCATGCATGGAGGTCCCTGGAGCCTTTGTGCTCTCACAGGACTGAGTGTTTTGTGATGAAAGCTGGGGAGGCTGTTCTCCTCTATAAGGAGCCGGTACCCAAATTGTTGAGGAGATGTGGACCTTGTACACGGCAAAGCTGTGTGGTTTCCTTTTACCTTTCAACTGACAGCAAACCTGTGAGCTCAGCCAACCATCACTTCCTGTCCTCCCTGCGGAGCGCCGAGGGGCTGCGCAAGGCACATATCACCGTAAGCCCGGGCTGGGGGGGTCAGCCTGGTCTTAGGAAGCTGGCCTGCCTCTGGCACAGCAGCGCAGCGTAATGGACCCTGCTTTTTGCAGAGCTTCCTCGTGGTACTGGGTTTATGGGGACCTGAGGAGGATCGGACCCTTTCTCACTAGAAGCAAAGATCAAATGTTTTTTACCTCTAGTTGAGCATTTATCAGACTTCCAGTTCCTGCTGCTCCTGCTGTCCTGTAGTCCTCCCTGTGGGGCTGGCGGGATGGAGGGAGAGGCAGCTGGAGTCCTCGCACCGCAGACGGCCCCTCCAGAGGCTCCAGGCTCTGTGCTGGGTGCTTCGCTGCATCAGCCCTGGGGTATCACCGTCGGGTTTACATGTGAGCAAACCAGTTTGAGGGGGTGAGGATGGGCCCGAGGTACTGTAGCCAGGAAGCGTCCGAGCCCAGGAGGAGTATTCTGAGTTTTTTAGTAGTTTATTAATTTTTAAGAATTTCACTCCATCCTCTTTGATTTATGGCTTTGAAGTAACTTAATCACCAAATCTCTTTATAATTGACAAGAAAAATATGAGATGATCAGGATGTGTTGTTATAAAAATTGTGCAGCTGGAGAATTTGGAATCTGTCTAGTTGGTTGAAAACCTTTCCTTTTCTCATCCCCAAAACATTGTGATTGACAATATTTTTCTAGAAAATTTCATTCTTTATTTTTCCTGAATTTTATTTTACACTTTTACATCACTGAGAAGGCTTGAGAGAAGTTTTTGCATTTAATTTAGAAATAACCATATAAAAACTCAGTCCTTGAAAACATCTTCCTTACCAATCAATGAAATGTTCACCTAATGAAATCTAAGTTTGTAACAATTGTAAAAGTTGTAATGTAGAACAGATATGAAGGAAATATTTACATAGCTTCTTCCCAGAAAAAAAATAATCTATGTGTTGAAGAGATTTGTGGTCTCCAGACTTAGGATCTGAAATCTTTTTCTCTTTCCTTAGCTCATCCTTCATTACCGCGGGACAGTGAGGGTGGGAAAGAAGTAGGACTTGTTTCTTTGTGCTACCTCGGGTGGATTTCAATGGGACTTGCCCTTCCTAAAGGGGTATAACAGTAAGAGTAATAATAATTAACATGAATGGCAGGCTAAATATAGGCTAGTCACTTGGGTGTATGTGTTCTACCCATAGGGGGTGCTGAGAACTTGTTTTCCTGGCTCCCTGAAGTGAGGGTGTAAGCTTGAACCTCAGGCTCTGCACCACATGTACCGAGAGGAGATTTCCAGTCGAAAGAGGGTGCCAAGAGCGAGCAGACACCGGGGTCCCGTCTGGCCTTGACCTTGGCCTTAGCCCTGGCCCCACAGTAGCTGAGGCCTCTCTGGCGGCTGTTCGAACTAACTGTGTGCCTGTGACCATGTTAGGGTCTTCATTGCAGCAGCCGGGTGGCATGATTTGGGAATGTGACATCTGGCTTTAAGCCTGAATCTCACACCCCTTGACAGCTACCTCATACACTTTATTAAGTTTCTTTTCTGTTTCTTCCAAAGTAAGTTTTCTTATTTATAACTCAGAACCCTGCATGAAGTTTAAGGCTAAAATTTCATACAGTAAAATTTTCCCTTTGAAATTCTTTATGTCACACATAATGCATAGTGTCACTCCTATGGCATGACATGCCTGCATCCTGAGGAGTCATGTTTCATGACAAATGCCCTGCTTTGAATACCAGGTCCCACCTAGCTGCACCCTCACACAGACCCCCACCCCTAGGGCGCAGCCCAGTGTCACTCTGACATGCGCTAGTTCACTAATTAATGACAAGACTTAAGCTGTGCTCTCCCTTGAGAGCACATTCTGTGGGACTTGCACACATTCAAAGCGCTGCTCGTGGGTTTCACAGGACTGTGCAGTAGGAGAGAGAAGGCCTAACACGGGAGCTTTTGTAGATGCCTGGCAGGCTGCCGTCTGGATTGATGGATCTTTTCAGAAAACCAGTTCCGTGGTTTTGCTCTGCAGCTGGCTCCAGATATATCCTGAGAGTCATTTAAACTGCTCAAGCCCTTATGCAAAAATGTTCCTGAGAAAAACTGTAAAAGATAATAAAGCTTTGAGCTTCTTGTGAAATACTCTCCTTAATGTTTGGAGACTACATATTTCTACACTTTGTGTGAGATTACAATTTGGTAGTTTTCCACAGCCCTAAATAATTTCCATGCATTTTTTAGTCTGTGACACAGTACATGGAATATATGACCTAAGCAGTTGCAGAACCAAAGCTGTAGAAATGCGCTCCTTGTTAGGCCCACGTAAATGTTCTGATAGAATAGAGAGCTCTTCCCTCATCTTTCACTTCTTTAATCTTTTTCTTTCAGGCCGTCATTTCTCAGCAAGGTGACACATTTGTTTTTGATCTGGAAACCTCAGCTGTTGCTCCCTTTGTCTGGTTGGATGTAGGAAGCATCCCAGGGAGGTTCAGTGACAATGGTTTCCTCATGACTGAGAAGACCCGGACTGTACTGTTTTACCCTTGGAAACCCACCAACACTAGCGAATTGGAGCAGTCTTTTCACGTGACTTCCCTGACCGATATTTCCTGAGGGAATCCAGGTTGTGTTTTAAGTGGACACGGGAATAAAACATTTCGAAGACACTGACTGGAACTGAAGGCCGCCAGAGCCGGGCTGAAGGAGCCAGGAAACATGCTGCTCGCTGCCCTGCCTCTCTGCCCTGCCGCTCTGTGGAGCATGCACAGCGTGTGCCCTCAGGGAAGGCTGTGTGCCCGCAGGCGCCCTCCAGCAGGGCTGTGCCTCGGTGCCTTCCAGCCTGTGCTGGGCCTGCCGTGTCAGCTCTGTCCCTCACAGCCCAGGCACCACACATACCTGCTGGAACCAGGAAGGGAAGCCCATGCAGAGTGCTCTCCGGGAACCGTAGGAACGGGGCCCCTGTGGTCTCTGTAGAACTCTGCGTGGAAGGTTTGTAGGTCCTGTAGGCCTTTCGCTGTTAACACTGACAGGTACTGAATGATCAAAGTGAAACAGCTTTGTTACTATTTTCAGAGGAAATGGAGGTTCAAATGTCACAATACCAAGAGATTCCTGGGGGGAGGCCATATTGGTGGGGTTGCTGGAAAGCTTTGGGGGATTGATTGTTGCCACTTGGTTACTTTTCAGGTAGATTCCTTTTTCATCGGTGGGTGTTGTTATAAAATACTGCTTTAACTTCTCTGATCAAAGGCGTTAGAGTGATTCTGCTCGGAAGGATAAGCTCTCATTGACACGGACCTCCCCTTCGTGGTTTGGAGACTGCGTGACCTGCCATAGGTTGGCGCCCTACTTACGTGTGAGCTTCATCTGGCTCAGTTCAAGGGGCTTTCCAATTCACAGGCTGCTTTTTAGATTCGGACTTGTTGGCCTTGGCAGCAAAGTGGTGTTTCCTCTAGCTTAGGTTTAAATCATTTCATTTATAATGATTGTTTCCACAAAATCATTATTCATTACCGTGTAATAAAATTATGTTGATAATAGAGCAAATGGAGTTAAATGTTAGGAAGTAGCCAATTTGGGTAAAGGTATATAGGAAATTTTTTTGTATTGCTTTGCACCTTTTCCTTAGGTGTGAAATTATATAGAAATTTAATTGTTACATAAATTGCATTGACAACTTGATATTTCATCTGTGGCTTATTTAATGATTCCATAAACATTCAGTTGTGTGAGTACTGTGCTGGACATTAATTCCCATTTAGCTCTAACCAAGTTTTTATTATACCTGATAAGCTGGCATTGTTCAAAGAATCCAGGCTAAGGTACTTGAGGGGTTTTCTCTGGGAAGAATCATGTAACTGGTTACGGAATGGACTGACGACAAGTTTGGCTTTAAAATAAAAATTAATTAGGTAATAGTTTTGGTCTGTGAAGCTTTAGGCCATGGTTGAGTGATTAAAAAGAAAAGAAATGTAGACAATCTTGCCCTCTCCTTGAGTATCTAAGGGTTTCCCATTTTATGTAAATGTGAATAAAGCCTGGGGCTTAGAGATGTAATTCAGAAGATTCTTACTTGATAAATATTATGTCATTTTCCTGTCAGTGTTGAAAATCCTATTTGTCTAATTATTGCTGGGGTATGGGGGCCCTGTGCTCCATTGAACTGAAGTCTCCGCTCTGCCAGGCACACTGTGAGATGGGTTTTGAAGTTAAGGGCCATAATTTACATCACAGTTCTGCTCTTATGGGCTCAATAACTTTAATAAAGTTATTTAACTTCTGTGTCCAGTTTTCTTGTGGTAAAATGGAAATAATTACACTCACCTTGTAAGTTTGTTTTGAAGAATAAATAAAAAATTTAGGTAAAGGGCCCAGCCCAGTGCTGGAAATTTCTGAGAGCTCTGCGAATGGAAGGCTGACTGGCGTGCAATCCTCTTGTGCTAAGGAGGCAGGGCTTCTAGCAGTTCTGCCACTTTTGGTTGTGTAACATTGGACAACAATTTGACCTCCTGGACTTTAATTTTCTCATGTGTAAAATGGAGATAATAATCTCTAACATCTAAGGTAGTTGTGAGAGCTAAACCAAAAGGGTCTGGAACAAAATAAATGCTAAATAGCTGGTGGTTATACTTTTTTTAATGTCATGATTATTATCATCACCCAATTAATACATGAAGCAATAGTAAAAAATGAAGCAAATAAAGGCAAATATCTTTTTTAAAAAATTGTTTAAGAGGAAGAAAGGTCTCAACAAAGAATGAGTTTGTAAAGAAAGAATAAACTAATGAATGGTCATAAATGCTGACAACAATTTATAGAGGGCGAGGAATGTGCTGTATACCATGAATTCTGTAAGAGAATAGGAACTTTCAAGACATCCTTCTACAGTTCATATGTGGCACTGAGGTTAAATCATTTCTACTATTTTAGTATTTATTTCACTGCATTTACTGGAATAGAGTCTGATGTACCTACTCTCCTATTCTTGGCTTTGGATTTTTGAGAAGGTTTTTGGTTAGTAGTTAGACTAAAGTTACCAGAATGTGAAGACTAGGGGTAGGTCCTTCAATCCTGCTGGTTGCAAAGCATATTCCAGAGAGAGAGAGAGAGAGAGAGAGGGTGCTCAGCCCACAGGATTACATCTTCCCATTTTAGAATGAAGAGAACAATAAAAATGGTAATTTTTCCATTCACATGCACTATAACTCTTATTTTTTTCTTACCTGATTTTTCATTGTGAGCAGTTTTTAAGCCATGAAAAGTCACTTGGAAAATAAATACGAAGATTTTGTTCTCTGTTGGAATGAAAGTGAACTGGAGTGCAGGAGAAATAAGAATGTGTTTTCCACGCATTCCTAAAGTGATAGAGACCTGAGACAGAAAGAATATTCTCTTGGGCTACTGCTGGCTCTCAGATATGAAACTTACTCCCCAACCTGGTAAAATACAGGGAGAAAAACAAGTAGGCATTGTTTGTAGGGGAAATTCAAAGCACTTCAAAATATTCCCAGAGACTATTGAATCTTATCCATTCAATAAGCCCATAAAATTAGAAGGGATATGCAGAGAAGTTATTTAGTAATGTTTCCAAATGAATGGGGGAGTTTTTGTTTTCTAATTGGCTTCTGGGGTAGCACCAGAGGTTATGAACCAGAGATATTGTTCAAGACCCTACAAATCCTGGACAGTTCCAGTGTTAAGACACATTTGTATTCTGACTCCAAAGACTGTTTACATTAAGAATTGACTCATTCATTTACCAAGGATTTATTGAGGGCCTCTCTGAGCAGGCACCGTCCTTGTCACTGGGTATTGCAATGAAGAGGCAGACATGTCTGTGCTCCTGAACTGTCTGTTGTAGGGGGAGACAGACAGTAGGCAAGTGAGCAAGTCTGTCTCAGCTGGGGACAAGTCCTATAAGGTTTATGTGTCAGTGCTGGGGGAGCAGCATTACATAAGGCCATCTTGTTCAACAGTTGAGAAAAGAGTTTTTGAAAGTTTATGATTAAAAAAAAAGAAAAAATGTTTCCAATTGAGAAAGGAGTCTTAAAAGGCCTTCCCTGTAATAAGTACAGGGCCCAGGATGGCTAATGAGTAGTTAATGCTGGCTTATGATTATTATTCCTCAAAGGAGAAGGTTGGCTGTGGCTGGAGTGACCAGGGCCTAGACGTCCTACATTTTCCCTGCCGAAGAAAAAACAATTTAAACCTCTCTACTAGGAGAAAATAACCACCAGCTTCTGTGACCTGAGCTGAAGGAGAATCAGGTAGAAAGCCAAACAAGTTTCTAATTCCCTTTTTCCTTAATCTCCTTTCCAATTTTGTTGAAGCAAAGTCATTGAGTGGCAAGAGGCACACCAGCTGTTGGGTGGCTGTGCAAAGTTCTGCTCTTTCCAGCAGAGGCCGCTTGTGCACAGGAACGAGGCTGGTGGCTGGTGGAGGGGACCGCCTTGCACCAGGGCACTGGCTTCCTCAGAGCGCGGTGGGCAGGAGCCTAAGGGTGAGCTTGCAGGGCCCTCACACCACCCCTCCCAGCTTCGCTTCAGAGAGCTGGAAGCCAGGGCCTTGGGGTGCAGCAGACTTTCTTAAAGGAAAGAAGAAAAGGGAGGAGGGAGGGAGAGACACAGGGAGGGTGAGGGAGAAAGGGGAGTGAGGGAGAAAGGGGAGTGAGCGAGAGAGAGAACAAGGAAGGGAGCGAATGAGAAAAGGGGAAGGGCGGGAGGCAGGCTGCCAGGGAGACAGACAGACAGACAGACTATGAAGGTTGGAAGGGGGGACCTGTTCTTGCACGGAGACTCCCAGCTCACACAAGAGGCAGGACACCACCTGGCTGATCTTGAGTCAGGTTGGCAGGATGGCTTTTTCGGCTCTCTGCCTCTTGGTTCACTTCGTTTCCCTCCGTCGTTGCTACCTTGGCAAAAGGGTGGCATCTGAATGATTTTTAACCCTAATTTAGTTATTGTGTGTCTCTTAAATCCTGACACAAAGCCTCCAGAATAGATGGTTGACTGGGGAGAGGTCAGATGATCTCTTAAAAGGCACAGTGACTAAGTGTGGATAGGACTGAAGCTGGGAGTTAAGGCAGGATTTGAAAAAAGGAGTGGCATTCAGGTGACGAAGAAGGAGTGAGGGAGGCATCTTTCCTGGCCCAGCTCAGCCCCTCCTCTCTAAGGAGGTGGCACTGTGGGCCTGTGGGCGGCTTACTGCCAATGCATTCTTCCTTGAAGCTTTAAACTTGGAGTTTCTTTGCTTTTCAGAACCAAAATGGTCCCTGGCCCATATGCTGTGTACATATGTTGATCATCATTAAAGATGTGCTTTTGCCAAAGTGGGAAAGAGGTCTGGGCCAAATGGTGGCTTTGACCTTCCCAGATGAAAACTAGGACGAGGATGGCTGAGAACGGCTCGGACGTCAGGCTGACAAGTCCCCATGTCTGTCTGTGAACATGTAAACACGTCCTGAGCATGTCTGTCCCATCTGTGGGGGATGTCAAGTTACCTCTGGCACTGGGTCCCAGGCAGTGATGGAAGGGGCAGGTGAGCGACTTGGAAGAGTCAAGAATGCTGCTTTTGGGCCCCTCTGCCTGGTGGCAGGACGTGTCTGTGAACAGAGATGGGTCTTCACGGGATGTGATTTCTGGGCCTTTGGCCTCTGGGCCAGGCTGGCCTTCAGCTGTGAGGCAGGATTCTGCATGAACACGGTGGTCTGCCAGGAGCATTTTGGAGGCCCTCCCTTGAATTATTGGGAGAAGGAAGTAGCAGAGAGGGGCAGAGTGTTGAGAAAAAGCTCCTGAGGACCCCAAAGCTAAATGAGGAGTGTGAAGCTGGAGGGAGAATAATGGGTAGGATGAGGTCTAAGATCACATGCCCCTTGTGCCCCTCTGCAGCCTGTTCCCAGGGGCTGCTGTCAAGTGCCACTTGCTCCAAGCTGCCGGTCCACCTGGTGATGGGACACCGGTTGTCCATGCCTGCCCGTGGCCAGCTTAACTTTCCCTGTCCTAGGCACGCCTGTGTGACCTTCCCCCTCGGAGCAGCCAGGCTCTCTGAGGGTGCAGAGCTCGTGTGAGTGTGAAGGCTGAGTCCAGCATGCACTCTTTACAGGAGCCCAGGCACCCCCAAGGCACCTCGGCATCTCTGTCAATCTGTGGACAGTGGCACTTGAAATCCCTCCCTGTTTACCTCTCAGATTTGAGTAAATATTTGAAAATATTTTATAAATGAAAGCATTCCTATTTAAAGGTTTTTTTAAAAGGAGTTTTTTACAAAAGGGAACCATTTCAAAAGCAAAAGGGAACATTTACATTTGAACAAAGTAATAAACAAGTGTCCTGCAAAAGAATAAAAACCCATGGCATGAAGTTTCTCATTTAAATTTTTGAAGCAAAATAATTTCAGCTGTGCATTTTTGCCTTAGGAAAAGGAAACTGCAAAAACAGTTTTGAAATGAAAACAAAATCTCTCTTTTTGTCAGAGACAAGACCGACCAAACTGCCTGTCTCCTATCCAGCCTCTCCTCGGGACCTTCCCTGGCCTGACACACTCCCACTGTCAGAGTAGCGGTTTCATCTCATCTTCCGTGCCAACGCGTTTGCCTTTGGTGATGGATGTTTTCCACGATTGTGGCATATAAATTGAAACTAATGTTGGCATATAAATTGGAACTAGAAAGAGCCTTTAGGTTCAGCCTCCATCAGTTAAGTAAGGATGTTTGATCTGTGCTAGGACTGGGACCAGTTCACCAAAACCACCCCCCCTCTTAATACTGGGAACAAAAGTAGATCACCCCCTAGCCACCCGCTCTTAGTGTGGCCATGGGAATGAAAGTTTTCTCCAGTACCATGTGAGGAGGAAGTGTACTCCTATCTGCTCTTTTTCCCTCCCTGCTGACTGGGACCAGTACCCCCAGTAAGGCCTTGGGAGCCAAGGGTCAGACTGGACCCTTCATGACTAAGGGCAGAGGGACATTGTCCCTGTCCCTGTGCCCTGCTGCAGATGTGGTTCATTACTGGAATCAGGAGATGCTGCGGCTAAAGGCTTTATGCGTGCCTCAGTTTCCTTATCTGTCAGACAGGCACAAAATTCTTAGTTCACAGGTTGTTTCAGCAAGTTATATGAGTTAATGAAGGATGACTGCTCATTGTAGGCCTGGTATGTCACAGATAGTCAAGAAATCTCGATTGAATACATACCTTCATCCCTTGAGGGTCGTTGTGATATTTCAATGAAATAATCACTCTGGACAGAGATGTCAGTGTGGAAAAAAAGCTTGTTGATGGAAGTGAGTGAGA